ACCACACGTGGTAACGAAAGTCGTCGTTTGGGTCTCCACGAGGATGCCTCCAAGGAGGAAGTGGTGTCGAGGGCACACCACCGTCCTCTGAACCGGCATAGCCGATCATAGGTTTTCACCCGGATACCATGAAACAAGGCAGAGAGGGGGCCACAAGCTCCATGGCGGCACCTCCACGAGGAAAACGACGTCCACAGGCACCGTTGCCGCCGGCATCGACAAAACTGCGCCAACCATATCACCATGAATGACATGGGATCCTCCTCAAAATCTCCAGGTCGAGGAGTTCAATGGGGATAGCGGGCAGCATTATATCACGATGATGCAGCGGGTCACACACGGCGAGGTACCTGACCAAAAGTTTGCCGCACACCTTGAAGCTCACCAGGACGGGTCTGCCAAATTTTTTTCCTGACAGGGACGTCACCCAGGAGGGCTCGCTCGTCAAAGAAGTCAATTGGAGTCCAGGTACGGCCGACGGTGGAGAGGCGAAGGAAGAGTGGTTGAAACCGAAGCCGGCGAAGGTGCGGGCAGCGACGGCGAGGGGTGATTAATTAGTGATAGCTATGTACAAACATGTTGATTCTCATTTGGGATTTCCTTGTATTAATGCCTCTCTATTCACAAATAGGTATATGATCATTTTAAATCTTACCCCATTAATACAGATCTAACTTCCATAAGTGCATTAATGCAACACATCCTCATAATGGATATCCAAATAATTAGATTACAGATATGTGAGTGTTCATGTTAGATCTCCTCGTATCAATCTATCTATCTATACCTATACTCCCTCCATTCCTTTTTATAGTGCGCCTTGTTGGTAGCACTTATACCAAGACATGAGGTGGCACATTTATTTGGACTAAAATTGCCCCTCCTCTGCTCATACTGTCATGCATGTGCATGCATGCAGCAAAGCGCACTATATCCAACGCAGGGCTATTTTGGACTAAAAGGACTTATGCGCATTACATTGCGGAATATGAGCCAGAATCTTATACGCACTAGAATATGGAACAGAGGGAGTACTAATTAGCGACTCCCAAGAAATTACCACGTTAATCATTAATTAGGAGCCGTTAATCTGATGGGACCGAATTATAATGGTGTAGATTAACCAGTCTATTTTAAGCCCTTTAGTAAAACTAACACAAATGCCCATGCGTTGCAACGGGAAAACAACAACGGTTCCTATGAATGGGCCAGGTCGAGCAACTATGCCATAAGACAATGGATGGATTGTTGATCAGGACATGTATGGGTATGATTCCCAGGATTTGACTCAAGAGCGTAACTTTATTGTTAATTCATTCTTTAGATGACTATGGGTACATTCTAAAATTTAAAAGTAGAACATGAAATAAATAGCAATATCAACAAAGATAAAGTAATAGCAACAGCAAGCTAATCAATCGAGTGTGATACTTGCAGTAAGCATCTATTCAAAAATAATAATGCAGCAAGCATAATCTGCTCCTAGTTAAGAAATATTTTTTGGGTGTGGAACTCGCATCAAAATGTATTTTATCAGAAAAATTATAGACACTTATCTTTTCTTGGAGGAATTCATATTAACATGTTTGATGCTTCCTGGGTTTGAATTGAATCTGTAAATACATTCCATGAAAAAAAAGAATTTGTAAAATATATGCTCGATACCCTGACTCTGAATTCCCCCTCATGTTACTTCCTATGTTTATTATCTATATCTACTCCGTGCTTCTTTTAACTCAAAGAAATATAGCCAATTTAGTTCACAAATGACATCAAAATGATCAGATCATATGTTCAAGTCAGAGCCCATCCCTCGTCTCCTACTATGCAACCACACAATTAGAGATGCTTACCAAAGCACTGAAGCGAACAAAAATAACCCAGGGATGCCTCCTTCCCGATGCATGTTTTTCTTGATGCCGAAGGACCGTAGCTTGTGCAGAGAGCAGACCATCAGATAATTACGTCCACCAAGCCCAGCATGCTAGAAACACGCCATGCACATGACGATGGAGATGCATGCAGCCGGCCAGCATGCTTTGTCGCCCGAGTGGTGCACATGAGCGTGCATCGCACGTCACGCTTGCCGGACACAGTTACCGGACGCACGCGGCACACCCGATGTCCTCGTCAAACCCACCGTCTGCTGCTAGACAACGGACGTCTTGGTCGTCTCGTCCCCGTGTTCCCTTCTTCCTCCTCTCCAATCGGAAGCTGCTAATTACCTCGATAAATTAGGCGGGTGCGTAGGCGACGAACGGTCTCGAGGGTTGCCATAAAGTGCCACGGGGCTCTGGGACTCGCTTCTCAACTGGTTCCGAAGGTTTGCTGCCTAGCCCTCCTCTTCCATCCTTTTCACTCACGGTCGGCAGGAGGGATGAAGCACCCTGTGGAATTTGCCTCATCGTATGCTTCCTCTATCCGACGGCTCCATCTGCTAGTCCGCCTCTACCGCTGGATCCACCTTTTTTTCTATAAACCTGAGCAAACTTTATGAAGTTTGACTTCAGTCAAATCTAATACATAGAGTAAACAAAAACAGAAAGTACCTAATTTCAACACCGATCAAGATTGATCCTCAACTCTTAATGCCACATTTTTCGTGAAAAATATTTTAATACTGTACAATTGGTCCAAATAACTACGTGCCATGAAGTTATACAATCTCACAAAAAGTCTGGTTGTCCCTTCTCTTTCCTCCTCCACAAGAAAAAACCTTAGCCTTTCCTTCTCCTCCAGTTGGCGCCACCGCTGATCCGCCCCATCTCCGGTGGCCTTTGGGCCATGGAGGTGCGGAGGATCTCGGCCCCCGCTGGCGGAGGGACCCTGTTCTCACTCATGTTAGATTCAGTGTCTTGATTGGGACTATGTGGCCGCGACGATGTCCTTCAGTAGGAATAATGTCTCCCACATTTTATCCCTGTTCCAATGGTGCGTCTAGTATTGTCGGAGGGTGTGTAGAGCTGTGTCTCCTTTGGATCTCGCGGGATTCGGTCGGTGCTGTTCTTCAGTGGATCTGGATCCGGTCTTTGTTCGTTTTTATTTGGGTGTTTACATGTTTGATCCTTCTGCTCTAAGACTTTCTTCATCGGCGATGGTTGCTGCTCTAGTGCGTTGGTCTTATGGGGCCTTAACACAATGGCTTTCCAACTGTCTACTACAACAACAAAGTTTGTCCGGCTCTAATGAGGGAGGGAGATAACAGCGGCGCGCCTTCGGCTCGCTCCAGTGTTTGTAGTCGTCGCTGGGTGGTCCATGGATCTGGTTGTAATTTTTATTACCTCTAGTGTTCTTTGTACTACCAAGATTGAAGATGGATAGATTGAAAGTTTCTGCCGAAAAAAAACTATGTGCCATAGAGTGCCATGTGCTAACTCGGGTTCGGAATCACACCACATCAATTCAAATACTGATCTGATCGAGGAGGGGCCAAATATGTTTGTTTGAAAAATCCAAGGTTCATTTGTCTAATTTTGCCAAAACAAAATAGTTTGCCTAGTTTTGAAGTCGAGGGACAAACCCACACCCTTTGTATAGTTGGAGGATGAAATGTGTACTATTTCCATGTTTTAGTGAACTTGGTAGAAAGCGGGTTAATGGATTTTCTTAAGTTCTATTCATTATTTGGCGGTGTTTCAATCACTTCGTATTTTTGTTATTATCTTCAGTTTTCATTTCTTTATTTAAAGTTTTGTAGTGGTTGCACTTGTATTATTTTGTGCAATTCCACTCTTTTTGCGCAAACACCTATAAAACTATTGAGGCGTTTACATACTAGTAGTTTGTAACCAATTGAATAACGGGTGGTAGTTCTTCTTCATTCTATGAAGCCTCAGATATTACATGCATCGGGCTAGGATGATGATGTCCATTTCGAACGGCGATTGAATTGTCTGTTTTAAGATACTCACTTCATCGCGGATGGAGATACTCCTCTACTTATTGGGCGCCAACTCCCTCCCGGTTGTCACAGTCCATTTTATTCCTTTCTTAGGGCCGGAGCTTTTTTTCTTTGAACATCAGTACAGACACAAGCGCTCATATACACGCGCATACACTCACCCCTATGAACGCACACACGCACACCTTACCCCTACGAGCGCCTCCGAAAGACTAAGCTGACATATCATCTTGAGATTTACGAAGTCACCGAAGACGCCTCGTCGTCGACCGAAACGTCTCCTCCCACAGAATGCACATCGCCGGAAATCCTGAAATAAATCCAGGAAATAAATGCGAGCACCAGGATTTGAACCCTGGTGGGCTGAGGATACCACAGTCTCTCTAACCATCCAACCACAGGTTGGTTCACTCCTTGGGCCGGAGCTGGACTCTCATGAAACATCTTAGTTACGGCCAGTTACCCCTAAAAAAAAAACCCGGCCAGTTCGGCATCCCTCCGCACTGTAACTCCGCTTCGGAGCGGAGTGACATGCAGTTATAATTAGGGAGCGGTTAGAACCGTGCTGCGCTCCGTGGATGGTTGTCGAACAGGGCCTTAGTACTGTCAATTTAACATGATTTGTGTCAAAATAGTATGAAAAAGCGAGTCACGAAATTTATGTACCCCCTCTAATTCATATGAGCCACTAGTAATATGGATCCATATGAATTAGAGGGAGTAGTAATATGGATCGGAGGGAGTACCAATTTGTACATTTCGCACGCATGAGCACATTCAAGATTTTTGAAAAGCTACATTTTTAGTGTTCCGAGAATTGGCGAACGTACATGACTACATTTGCACTGGTAGGGAGCGATACGAAATTTAAACCAACTAATGGGATTCCATTTTATTTCCAACATTTAACGACTACAGTCAAAATGAAGAGGATCCGTACCAAAAGAAGGAAACAAAACATGAAACTAATAAACTATGAAAAACTAAACAAAACACGAAAGAAACTATGAAAAACTAAACTGAGGATCAACAGGAATCCCACGTTATTGAGCCTTTATCCATTGTTACTGAGCCGAATTGCTCGTGGCATGCGGGCGATCTAGGGGCGGCGCAACGGGGGAGCGAGGGGAGGGAGAGGGCCGGGCGGAGTCTTGGCCGCGATCTTGGTGAGGAAGTTGACGGCGATCCTGATCATCTTCTGGAACTCCACGAGGCTGGCCTCGAGGATGAGCCTGACGTCGCCGGTGAGGTTCCTGCAGCTGATCGTGCAGGCCGACACGTCGGCGATGGCCCGGTCGGCGAGCACCTTGGCGACCAGGTGGGCGTGGACCTTCAAGGCGGCCGTGGCGCCGTGGATCTTCTTCATGGCGGATTTCATGGTGACGCTGCAGTTGCTGAGGCAGACCTTGAAGTCCGGCACGGAGGTGTTGAACCCGGGGACCTTGCCCTCGAAGATGGTGGTCGCCACCGCGCCGGCCTCCGTGGCCGCCTCCATGGCCACGGCGACGAGCGCGGAGAAGTCCACCGTCCCCGGCGCGCCGGCGATGAGCGCGCCCCGCGGCGAGACCGACGCCAGCGCGGTCTGGATGTCGAGGAGGCGCGGGCCCAGCTCCTTGACGCAGTGCGCCGGGAAGGGGCCCTCGTTGCACGTGGTCACGAGCGGGCTGGCGCCCGGCGGGGCGCGCCCCGGCGGCGGCCCCACCGCCGCCGCCGCCGCCGGGGGGAGGAGGACGGCGAGGGCGAGCGCCAGCAGGGTCGGCGCGGCCATTTCCTTCAGCTTGGAAAACTGGATCGAGAACCTCTGTGGTTCCTGTCGGCGGGCTGAGCTCTTGGTTTGTGGTGTGCTGGAGCGATGGAACGCCCGGATATTTATGTGTCCGTGCGGTTGCTCGCGCGGCCAGGGAGTGGTTCTTGGTGCTCGTCGTCGGTGCGGCTGGGAGGTTTTTCCGACGGGGCATGCGCGCGGCCATGACCATGGGTGATCAGTGATCGAGCTGCGGGAGTGCCGGATCTGGTGCCGACTAGTGGAGTAAGCGCGAATGTCCCGGGAGTCCTGTTGTGCTCGATCTTCTTGCCAATTGGTGCATGCGCATGCAGGCGTTATTGCGACTTTTTTTTTTTTTGAAAACTACTTGGCGCACTTTATTAAACTCATATCAAAGTTACATCATCCACAATGTCCGAAAGTAAAAAGCTGGGAGGATCACCATCCCAAACAAAAGTAGAATTTAAATTGCAACTATGTCTAGCAAGATTGTGCGCCAATCTATTAGCCTCCCTAGGGCAATGAGTGAAGGATACCGCACCAATACGGTATGCTTTTTGAAAACAATCAGCCAAAATAGCAGTATAGGGGCTCCAAATTTCAATCACGCCATTGCATGCTTGAATAACTTCCAATGAGTCAGATTCAACAATGACCTGGTGACAGCCGAGTCCTTCAACCAACTCTAGTCCTCGCTGAATAGCTACTGCTTCCGCCGTTGTTGCATCAAGGAGATGATGAAGCAACCAGGATGCTCCCGCAAGAGCCTCTCCTCGGTTGTTTCGAAGAATTGCTGCAGCTGCACCCGTTCCATCTTCAAAAAAAGCGGCGTCAACATTTAATTTATAAGAATTGATTGGAGGTTTCACCCACATAACTTTATCCGGTTTCTTCTGATCCGCAGCTCGAGAAAAGTTACTTGTGATCGCCTGGATAGCGAATGCAGTACTTGAAGGATTTTGGACATTTTTGCCCTTAACAAATTCTCGTCGCTGCCACCATATATACCAAGCCCCAACGACCAAAGACTCCCGGAATCCCAACCTACCAAGAACAGGTGAATGTCTCGCCGGTTGCGTTAGTAATTCTTCAAGGATCACACTACCTGACCTGTCAATTTGAATGACTTCACCTATTATTTCATGTAACCCCAGTTTCTTCCATACTTCTTTTGCTCTTTCACATGTAAACATCAGATGTCGCATATCTTCCGCCCCTTGCTTGCATACTGGGCATTGAGGCTGTACCTTGATGTGTCTGTTTGCCAAGATCGACATCCCTGGGACAATACCATGTAAAGCACGCCAGGCAAAAAATTTCACCTTGCTTGGAATTTGTAACTTCCACAAAATATCCCATACCGGGGTTGCATGCATAGCTCCTTGGCCATCCCCCCACCTAGTTTGAGCACCAAATTGATGTTCCCATTCCACATAATAAGCTGATCGAACCGAGAACGATAACGACTTCGTATACTGCCATGCCACAAAATCTTCAGTCATGTTAGGGCTCAAAGGGATTTTTAAAATTCTTTCCACATCCACCCAAATAAAATTATCTCTAATCAAAGCCTCATCCCACTTTCCTATAAAGGGATCAATTAAACCATCTACATTCTGCAGAAGTCTTTGTCCTTTCACAGTTATTACTTTCCTGTTCGGACTGCTAGGCACCCAATGGTCCTCCCATATGTTGATGTTTGCTCTAGTACCAACTCTCCATATGTGTCCTCTCATAAATGTGCGTAGCCCAGCAATTATGCTCTGCCAAGTAAAAGAGGATCCCTTCTTCGGACCTGCTTTCAGTAAATTGCCATCGGGGTAATACTTAGCTCTGAGAACAGTCGCACACAAAGAATTTGGTTTTGTGATCAACCTCCAACTTTGCTTTGCTAACATAGCGAGATTAAAAGCGTGCAAGTCCCTAAACCCCATACCTCCATTCTTTTTTGGTACACACATCTTCCACCACGCCCACCAATGCATTTTCTTTTGTTCTTCAGTATCTCCCCACCAAAAGCTAGACATCTCGTCTGTTATGAGCTTACAAATCTTTTTGGGAATATTAAAAACTGCCATAGCAAAAACAGGTAGAGACTGTATAACAGCCTTCAATAAAATTTCTTTGCCACCCACCGAAAGAAACTTTTCCCGCCACACCTTTAGTCGCTTTATTACTCTCTCAAGAAGATGAATAAAACTATCACTTCTATCTGCCCCCACCATTGCAGGAAGACCGAGGTATTTATCCGAAATTGCCTCCGTCATAATATTCAGCTGGGCACAAACTGCAGCCTTTACTTCGACATCAACATTAGGACTGAAGAAAATACTACACTTTGCATCACTGACCATTTGTCCCGAGCTTGCACAATATTGATCAAGAACATGTCTCAACGAGGTTGCATTAATTAAATTTGCCTTCATAAGTATCAGGGAATCATCGGCGAAAAGTAAATGAGAAACCGATGGTGCATTTCTGCACACCCTTACCCCTTCAATGCCACGAACCTCCTCTTGATGAGCCAATAAACTTGATAAACCCTCTGCACAAATCAGGAATAAATATGGGGATAACGGGTCTCCCTGCCTGAGACCCCTTGTAGGAATAAATTCATCAGTCTCCTGATCATTAAAACGCACCTTATATTTTACTGATTTAACACATGCCATCAGTAACTCCACAAACTCACTAGAAAAACCCAGTCGTATTAGCATCTTTTCCAGAAAAATCCATTCAACACGATCATATGCTTTATGCATGTCAAGTTTCACCGCACAGTACCCATCTTTTCCCTTCTTCTTATTTTTAAGCATATGCATACACTCATAAGCCACGAGGATGTTATCAGTAATCATACGGCCTGGCACGAAGGCACTCTGGACAGGTGAAATTATGTCATCTAGAACATGCTTCAGTCTCATCGCTATCATTTTCGAGATGACCTTATAAAGAACATTACATAAACTGATAGGTCTAAACTGGGTAATTTTTTCTGGACTTTCGACCTTTGGGATTAAAACAATAACAGTATCATTCCACCCTTTAGGAATTACCTTGTTATTAATAGCCAAAAGAACTTCATTGCAAAGAGAATTTCCGATGATATGCCAACATTTTTTGAAGAAAATGGCGTGAAGCCCATCCGTACCTGGCGCCTTCAAGTCTCCGATGGAAAACAAAGCCTTTCTCACATCCTCTGTAGTATACGGTTTATTAAGAGCTTCATTCATATCCGTAGTTACTCTAGGTACCACTTTTTCAAGGATCAGAGGGTCTACATCATCAACTTCAGTGCTAAACAACCCCGAAAAATAGCTAGAGATCATCGGGTTAAGTTCACCAATACTTTCACGCAAAATACCATTATCATCTTTCAAACCTTTTATTTTATTTCGTTGCCTTCTTGCACTGGCCGAATGGTGAAAATACTCTGTATTTCGGTCACCAAAATTCAGCCAATCAACATGTCCACGCTGAGCCCAATACAACTCTTCTTGCTCCAAGAATTTCTCGATCTCAATTGATAGTTCTTTCTGCCGTGCTAAATTCTCCTCTGTCATAGCATCTCTAGTAACTCTTTCTAACTCACGTTGGGTACTTCTCAGCTTTTTTCTCTTTCTTTTCAAAACCGAGCTGTCCCACATGTGTAGCCTTTTATGCACCAACGCCAGCTTATCAGCGAGGCTACCATCAGAAAGCTGTGTGTCGGTCCCCCATGCAGCTTGTACTACATCATGAAAGTTTCTTTCTTTTAGCCACCGTGCATCAAACCGCAGAACAGATGGGCCAAACCTCTCCTCTCTGGTTGTATCACAGTGCATCAAGAGAGGTCTATGATCCGATCTGCTATACTCCAAATTCTCCAACACAACATTGTTAAATTTGTCGTTCCACATCTCATTAGTAAGTGCACGATCAAGCCGTTCACGAATGTTTCCTCTCTGCCAAGTATAGCGATCTCCAACATACCCAAAATCTGTAAGGTTACAATCCTGCACCGCATCTCTAAAAGCTTGCATATACCTCTCTGGTCTGACGTTGCCTCCCTCTTTCTCAAAGGGATACATTATTTCATTGAGATCACCGAGAACCATCCAAGGCATATCACAAACAGCACGTAATTCTCTTAATCTCTGCCAGGTTAAATGTTTGTCCCTCCATCTTGCCTCTCCATACATGCCAGTTAATCTCCACATGTTTTCTTGACCACTACTAACAAAAGCATCTATATAGTTAAGTGTCTTATGTCTCAAAGAAATCACCACTTCTTTCTTCCATAACAAAAGAAGGCCACCACTTCTTCCATCGCTCTCCACAACCTCCTTATGATCCATCTTGAGCCTTCGTTTCAAAGATTCTGCAGCCCATTCTTCAAGATGTGTTTCTGATAAGAAAATAACATCCGCTGCCCTCCGCTTTTGGATGTCCAGTAACGCACGAACTGTCGCAGCCTTATGAAGGCCACGGCAATTCCATCCGATGATTTTCATTGCTGATGGTAATCTTCCTCGATGGGGTTCGCCAATGGATCACTCGAGGAACCTGTTGCTTCTGTCCCCAACCTCTGTCCCTACTTGACCGTGAATTCTCCTCTCCACCCCTTCACTGATGGATCACAACTTCTCTACAAAAACTCAGACTCCGATTGCAGCACTACCACTCTGGGCAGGGCAATATCACAAATTCCTTGCGAGAACTCCCAAGCACAACAAACTGAACCAATCAAGGCGATCAGCCAGGAAATTTATCCTACTACGGCACCACCTGAAGTGGCCACAAACCCGCAGTGGAGAGAGAAAACCAGAGCCGACACCTCAAGGCATCAACCTGGGACAGCAAAACGCTGGTCCCCGCACCGCCGCCAAGGAGGCGGCCGGGGGCGGACCAGCGGAAAACCTAGTCGCTCGAGTCGTAAAACCTAGTCAAGTGTATCCAGGCGTTATTGCGACTTGTTTCTACGGTGACCGCGTCAGGGGGAAAATCCTATATGCCGCTCGTTG